GTTTAAGGAGATACAACATATAAAATGAAATTGGTAAATAAATTGGTATTATGATAACTTAAAATGTAATTTTATATAATATGAGAGAAGATATTTTTAATAACACCTCTTATCTTAACCTTAATTTATACAAATGTTTTTACTGTTGATACTGTTTCTACAAAAAAATTTTATTTGTTGTATTGCCTATCAAGTGAACCAACAAAACCATGTTTGGTATTAAGTTTTAAAGGAATTACACTAATGTTAGACTGCGGCTTAAACATGCAGTCTGTATTACATTTTATGCCAATGTCTTTGGTTCCTAGTTCAAAATTCAATTCATTATCATTCTGGCTTCCTCGTGATAATCATCAAGATTGGCAAATAGAAGGGGTTTGAATATTTATTTGTTTTAATTAACAAAAATGCGACAGCTCTCCCATAAAATTTAAATATTTACTTTTTAGGAGTTAAAAGAATGTTGTGGCAGAGTATTTGTAGATTCAACCCCAGAATTTTCTCCACCACTGGAGAAGATCATAGATTTTTCAGAAATTGATGCTATCTTGATATCAAATTATACTTGTATGTTGGCTCTACCATTTATAATACAAGATACTGGTTTTAAAGGCATTGTGTATGCCACAGAACTTTAAGGCATTGTGTATGTCACAGAACTTTAAGGCATTGTGTATGCCACAGAAATTTAATTACCTTCAAACGAGGTGAAGTAATCAAATTACCTTTAAAAAGGAAAAAGGGGCGTGTATTTATTGAAATTCCACGACTGTTCAACTTGTGACGGCTCGAAATCATAGCACATCGTTTTATTCCTTGCGATTTCTCATTGTTAAAATATTGTTCCTTATCTCTACAAAAGGACAACCATTTCTACGTTTTCTCGAGCAATTTTCAGCAATTCTCAAGGATACATGTAAATCTGTCAAAAGAAATTCGATTCGTAAGATCGATAACGAAATGCTATCGCTAAAATAAATTTTATGAAAGCATCGGAAACTTTCAAGTGTCGCCTGGTATTTCACCGTTCATATCTCAAAACCCAATCATCCGATTCACTTGAAACTTGGCAAATGTCTTCAGCAAACGTCCCGATCTCTCCTGACACAGAGCGAAATCGATACCCGCAAAGTTTGATTCGTGCGAGCTGTAAAATCGACCAATAACCCGATAAGTCGAAACTTTACCTTTCGCATCGCTATCATATTTTTATCCTCCATTTCTGTATCTGCTCAACTTCGGAACATACTGACATAGACTAAGTATCTACCGAGTTCTAGGATTTCACACGATCTTAACATCCCAATTTTATGATCACCATGGACGAGCTTTTACTGCCTTTACTGTCTTCCCTTCATGATGCACGTTTCTTTCGGTTGCTAATTATTGTGTACGATTCGACGATCGTTTTCGCAACATGTTGTCACATATCTCGATGTGCACTTCAAAACGGATAACTGTATTTGTTTCTACAGACAGTTTCACGTCTTCCGGTTCCTCTTCGTCTAGGTGGTAATCGCTGACAAACTGACGGCTCACGCTGAAATGTTCCGTAGGCGAACAATTCCTCTTCGCCCACGCGACCTCAAGTATATGGAGTGTCCAAGAAATCAAGTGTAACTGCTCCCTGGAAAGACATAGATACATATAAGGATCTTGATAATTCAAGGGTCCTTCTGAGAAAATCGAGTTCAAGGACGCAAAATTTGGTACCTGCCATTACTTGAAAGCGATCACGATCTCGTTAAATTCGCGAAGTGCATCTTGAGGTAGAAAGTCTTCAAAGGGATCGGGAGGTCTTATCTTGAGAGACAATCTTTTCCTAGCTGTATTGCGAAACGAAAAGATGGTAGCTGATGGAAATTCAAAATTTAGCGCCATTCCTCGTAGGGAGAAAACACTCAAACTAGTAGGCAAATTTACCGACAGACCAAATTTCTCTAAATAAATTGATAGCGCCGCCTGGTATAAGTTTCGCGATTCTTGTTCCAGACGAGGTATACTCATCTGTGTTAAAAGTTCCGACAACTTGTAAGAGATGGGGCAACAGTTGTTTTCCTAATGCTAATCCCCTCCCCCAACCCGCCAAATTGTCATACTAATCTTTTTGTTTCAATTTTCCCAATCTTGGGAATGCCACAATTATTGAGAATTTAAAGCTTGTTACCGAAAAGAAGAATGAAGAAGAAATTAATATACAGCTCGTTAAACGAAATAGATTTTTTATTGACAAATGACGTAAAAAATCTATTTTTTATATTCGTCTTAAAATTAGTTTATACACGCCATGAAACAAGCACGTCATCAGTGCGATACCTCTGGACGCATGACGTCTGCATCCAGGGAGTATGACCACTGCTTTGATATTGATGTAATCCTGCCACTGCAATCATTACCCCATTGTCTATACAGAATCGTTCGTCTGTAGCATGAAGTACTGCATTTCGTTCTTTACACATAACTTCCATCATTTCCTGCAATCTTTCATTACATCCCACACCGCCAACAATTAATACTTCAGATGATTTTACATGAGCCATTGCTCGTTCTAAAATGTCATAGAATCAGAAACATATTTGTTTGTTACATTATGAAGTGGAATTGTATTTCATGCCACTGTACCTGTAATTTCAATCAGCATAGCAAACAATGTTTCTTGTAGAGAGAAACATAGATCCTCTTGAGTAAATTCTTTTGAATCTAGCCAAGAGGGGAGATGTTCCTCTATGTGACTTAATATGCCAGAGAAAGATACATCCATGCCTTTAACCACATATGGCAATGGTGCTAGCTTTTTACCTCTTTACATCCATGGAATTGTAACAAGAGAAATCGTTACTATATTTACAGATAAAATGATCTGTCAAAATGAAACAACTTACTTTTTCGCTAATTGTTCTATGTTATAACCAGGGCTAGGATCGTTTGAAAGTTTCAACAGCCTTGCAAAACGATCCAAGCAATTTCCAACAGCTATATCTATTGTTTCCCCAAAAATACGATATCTTTGTCGAGAGTATGCAATCACCTGTGTATTCCCTCCGGAAACATAGAGAACGGTTGGATTCGAGCTACCTGTGATTAAACGGCCCATTTCTATATGACCAACACAATGATTTACTGCTACTATAGGTTTATTGTACAGTTGTGCAACTGTTCTTGCCACCAGTGCAGCTACTGTCAATGGAGCACCCATTCCAGGACCCTTGGTGTAACACACCACGTCTACATCCTTCAATGTTACCTTTGCATCGTCCAATGATTTTTGTAGAACATCAAGAATGTGTGTTCTGTGATGTTGTGCAGTCTCACGTGGCAAGAATCCTTTCCAAAAGAATCATTGAAAAATTTCATGTACAACTTCATAAATATTAATGATTCGTATGAACAGTATGTGCTGTTTCCTGAAGAATGGATGTGAAAGGTTATGTTTTTACCTTCACCCGGCGGTGTAACATAAGTATGTCGGACATTTGATAGTACATTTTCGTCCTGAATAATTCCAATGCCCAATTTATTCGCGCTACCTTCGAATCCGATTGCTATTACCATTTCTATTTTAGTTATTCAATTTGAAATCGGACCAAATATTTAAACATATCTATAGTCTGTAGTCATTGGTACGCGGGTAAATCAAACATCCAATGGAAGACGCGTACCCATGCGCAATACACAACACGACCATATGTATGTAATTTCTTTCAATGTACTATCGATTGCATTGAATATCGTGCACAGAGTAAAATAATATCATTCATTAAAACACAAAATGAATAATTTGGAAATAAACTACAGAATCGCTATGAAAATGTTTATACAAATTAATAAAAAATCAGGAGTACGTATGGCGTTCGTAAAGCACGAACGAACAATCGAGGCGACATCTGCTGTTCGTTTCGCTTGGAATGCATCCTCTGTATTTGGTGCGGCTCCATTCGTAGAACGTCCAAAAAATGCAAGTTTACGAGTTGCCGCGATGAGAAAAGTGAGTGTCGTTGTCTCGAAAGGTTCTTGAGCCCAGTGAATGTCGTGAAAATTCCACGAGTAGCGCTCACTGGGTGGGCGATTGATTTTCAAAGTGACCATAGACTGCGAGCGAATGAAAGCCTCTGACAGTTCGGTACGGGTGGCAACCAGCGTTGCCAGAATTAGATCTATTCGAAGTATCGTCGGGTAAAAGTTTTGTGAAGCCACGTAAAACAACGACGAAAAAAGAAATAAAAGAAGATATCCAGTGTCTTCCGGTTCAAGATATCTGTAAGGTAAACACATGAAATATCGCTTGTTAACTTGTGAACTGAAATGAAGATATGAAATAGAAACTTACAAATATTATATTATTTCAGGAATGTCACGGGACTATGATAGAAGAAGAGGAGGCATTGATAGTGGTAGCAGCTCTAATAAATTACGGATGGATACCAATGTATCCCAACCCAGACCTCATGGTGAAAATTCTGGGAAGAGGAGAGAATTAGATAGTGTGGTGCCGAAAGCTCGTGAGTCTCAATCAAGCTATTGGAATAAAAAGCTTCTGGAGGTAGAGGGGCGAGACCCAAATCGATGGAGGCACAGTAGATACAAAGTGTTGTATGTTGAAGACACGGCAAGCGGAGAACCAAGCAGAGGACAACATCGTAGTCCAAGAAATCCAAGATCTAGGAGTCCCCATAGCCGAAGACCACGCAGTCCTCGAACTAAAAGACCATGTTTGCCTCGCGATAGATCACATACCACGGGAAGACCGGCACGAAGTCCAAGTACAGGCAGTACTTGTTCCGATAGATCATGTAGCGTCTGTTCGCCGAAAGAACAACGACGCATTACCCTACCTTCTCGTTCGCGTTCAAGATCGCTCACACCGGTTCGAGGTCGAGCACATCCAAAAGACATAGTACTATCGAGTTCCCGAGTAATACGGGTTCGAACTAGACTGCAATCACCTCCTTTGCCTCGTCCACGCACACCCCCACCTACACCGCAACCTCCACCACGTCACCAAAAGGACTACAAAACAATTAAAGAAAAAGAAGCCAAAGTTCGACGCAAAGAAAAGCATCATACTAGAATCCCAGAAGATCCACGTGTCCCAGATCCAATACCACTGGTAAAATATATTTTTGTTGATGTACATAATTATAAATTATGATTCTTGAATGTAACAACAATTTTTTTCACGTATAATAATAAGCCCTTTTTAGCTTTACCTACATACGGTCTTGTTCCCAATAGGTAATTATTGAACTTGTGCAGATGTGTAAACCAGTAAAGGTAGAGAAAACACATTCAGGCCACGGAGCAACCCAGATGATTAGGCCTCCACCAGAATCCTCACCCAGTGAAGAGAGCGACAGTTCTTCTATTACATTACACATGGGACCACCTAGAATGACTTTATCAGAACGGTATGTCTGTGATATTTAATGTATGAAGAATAACGGAAAAATTAGGACTAAAATAAGAATGTAAATCTTACAGATTCGGGAAAACGGGAGAGTGGAGCGTAGATCGTAGAGATCTGGAGAAGATGAAAATCTCTGTTTGCAGAAAGACCAAGAAGTCTTGAATGTTGGGACGACGTCTGTGTCAGATATGATTATTATAAAGCAAGAGGATATCTTCGAGACCTCGCATTAGATGACTACATAAAGTGGGAGGAATGGTGGTATAAATATCAAGAATGGTTAGAGAGGGAACGTTTTTATGAACAATGGGCGTCTCCGAACCGTCCTAGTGGAAGCCGCAAGAGACGCGGTAAACGTAACAATGCAGCTCACTGAAACTTATATATATAAGTATATATATAATTATAATAAAAAGTATGACTGTGCTGTAAAAACCTCGTTCTCATCGGTTTATTAAGTAAAATTTGATATTCAAAATTTGTTTTTTTTTCATTCTTACACGTTACAGTGTACACAGAGTGTTCTCTGTGCTGCCTAAAACATTAATACTTAATCGAAAAAGATATACATCTACTTCATCTTTTCCAAAGATTAATGCCCTTACTCTCAGCAAAGATATCTTTAGTTATAAAATTTTGACTAACTTCAGAAATCAATAAAATATTACTTTTTATTTAACGAGAATACACAGTGTAAATGTTTTTTGATTATGCTCGTATAAGGCGATGTAGAGATTACATCATAGGTAAAAAATAAATTGATTCTTTGTGAATAAATAGCATAAAGTCATAATATACTTTACTAAACATAAATTAGGTGC